CAGGGGCCTGGGGAGACAACTGCTCCCCTTCACTGCCTCCCTGCCACTGGCCAGTGCCCACCTCCTCAGACCTGAGCTCCAGGTGAGACGCTGTGGGACAGCTTGCAGGAGCTAAGTGCAAGTGCGGATGGGTGGGGACAGGCGTCACCAGACTGCCCCTGGGGCTGCATCTTTTTTGTTGACCGTAAGTATTAGGGCTCAAGGTGCTCCCAAGACGCCGAGGGCCATGGGCCTCTGGGCGGAGGGACAAGAGGCAGGGAGAGGCGGCTGGGAAAGGCCTAGCAGCTGGTGTGGTACAGGCGTGTGTAGGGCCAGGGATTCGGACGTGGCTCCCTGCAGCTGGGCCCCTGTCCACCCCTTTGCAGTCCTGTTTCGAGCAAAGCCGCTGTGGGGGCTGCCAGGATGGCTGTCACCCGGGCTGGCTGTGAGGGTGGAATGAAGGTGTTCCCCTCTGGGCAGGGACCAGTGCTGGTGGCAGTCCCGGGGGCCACACGGGAACCAGAGAGACCCCCAGGCTTGGCCCCCTCACCGGCGCCCACCCCTTCCAACCCTGGAGGCCAGACCCTCTTGGCTGTTGCCCCAGGGGGGCCTGGCATCTCCTGCCCATCCATTCTCAGCGGGAGAAACCCAGGTGAGTGGCCCGTGGGGGTCGCCAGGCCGTGAGGATGGCTGAGGGTCCACTTACCTGCCTTCTGCACCCAGAGCAGGGCCAGGAGAGCCCACACCAGCACCCGGCACCCGCTCAGGTCACCCATCCTGGGGACAGGTGAGCAGGCGGGTGGTGAAGAGGGAGTGGGGCAAGGTGCTCGCTCCTCTGGGGGCCCCGGAGCTTATGTAGCAGGAAGCCTTGGCCCCGCGCCCAGCTCCCGGGCCACGGGGGCACTGCCCTCTCCCCCGCACCAGCCACGTGTGTTTGCTCTTGGGGAGGGGCCGGAGCAGGAAGGTGGCATGGAGGAGGAAGGATTCTTGGCTCTGGGGCCTGGAGACACAGGACCCCCGCCCCAGCAGCTTCTGAGAATTAGCAGGGAGAGGGGTGCCCGTCCACCGGACGCCAGGAGAGGGGTGCTGACGGCCCCTCTAGATGGTGAAGCCCCCGCAGGCAGGGCCACCTCGGGGGTGCCCAGCCTTGCCTCAGCCCCCACCTCACTCGAAAGGGACAATGGTCAGCACAAGGCTCACGTTCAGCTCCACGTCGAGCCTCTCGGGAGCCTGGCGGGGCTGAGAGGTGGGACTGAGGGGAGGGGGCCTCGGGTCACCACCTGCGAGGCCGTGAGGTCATTGCTCGCTCGGCCTGGCCAGCAGCCCTGGGTTCTCCTGCTCAGCTGGATGAAGAGCTTGGTCAGGTGTGGAGGGCGGGGTAACTAGTCTGCACGGCTTGTGGGGGTCCCAGGAAGAGGCTCTGTGCCTAGGACCCCCAGCCGTGCTGACCAGGGCCCCTTGCGAGTCTCTGGGCTCCTCTTTGCCTTCAAGTTCAAGGGGAAACCAGGCCTTGAGCGTGGACACCTGGTTCAGACGCACCCATCTGATGCCCCCTTGTCAAGGCAGGGCAGAGGCTCCCACCCGGGGTCCTGGGTGGCCCCACCTCATTCCCAAGGCCAACTTGTTAACCCAGGGGTCCGGGACCTGCCTGGGGTCCTAGGTCCCAAGCAGGCCTCTCAGGGACCACTGTGTACCTGGTGACGTGCCCCTTGAGGCCCCCAGTGGGGCTGATGGGGTCACCTCAGGGGGGACCAGGGGTATCTCCACCAGCACCTGCCCCAAGTCAGAGCCACAATAGCCCAGTTCCCCCACTGGCGGGTCAGGTTTCAGGGTCACATGGTCACCAGCACCCCAGCCTTCTCACTCTCTGCCTCTTCCAGTGTCCTTGCCCCAAACCCGAGGACGTCCCAGGTCCCTTCCAGGCCTCTAGGTTGGCTGGTGTGACTAACAGACGAACCTCTTACTTCCACCCCAACCCGCTGTTTGTCTCACTGAGGCTAAATTGGCAGCCATGCGATTGCTGGGCCCGCTTGGGTCCATGACCCTGCCTGCTTGGCCCTGGGCTGGGGCAGGAGGTTCTTGGACCCCAGAACGACCTGAGACCTGGCTCCCAGGCACCCCAGGGACCCCAGGGGTGGTGCTGTGGCCCCTGCTGCTCCTGCCCCCATTTCCGCTGTCATATCCAGGGTTGAAGGTTCAGGGCTGGGTGTGTGGGGGTCTCCAAAGCCTTTCCACATGCAGCCCAGCTGTCCTCACCGTAGAACGCGCAGCTGGAAGGTCCCCCGAGGGCGGGCAGGGGGCGCCTCTCAGGACCAGCTTGGAGGCTGGGCTGGCGCTCCTGCTCCGCCCTCCTTGGATCTCCAGCTGAGGCTGTGCCCACCCTGCCCGCCTCGCCTTCCTGCCCTTCCTCCAGGCAAACAGCTGGTGCTCGGTAGTGCCGAGGCCCCCAGTCCCTGGAGAAGGTGGGGGTGCGCACCGCCTGGGCTACTGGCTGCGAGGCCGCTCACCTGCACCAGCAGGAGCGGGCTGGGGTCTCTGAACCCGCTGAGGCCTCGGGGAAAGGGGGGTCCTCAAGCCTGAAGCCTCACAGCCAGGCCTCCCACCTCCTCCAGGCCTCCAGTTCTCAATCCGTGTCCCCTGGGGCCTGCGAGCAGCACCCGCCCTGCTGCCACAGGTCTCCTCCACACTGACGTGGGACCCGCCAGCCCCAGCCCCCCAGCATGGGGGCGGCCCGGGCACCTGGGTCTGGGGCCTCGAGTGTTCTAGAGGTTTCACGTTTATCTCGGTCCCCCCCCCTCCCCTCCCAGCAGGTGGGCAGCAGCTGGCGCACAGGGGCGCACAGGGGCACACAGACCCAGCTGGGCCTCCCCACGAGCCCCATCCCGGCAGAGACTTGCAGGCCTCAGGGTCCCAGCTATTGAGACATCCCGGATGCACCCCGGGCCAGCCTGTTTGCTCAGCGAGTTTACCCCTTCACAGTTGAGGGAGCCGAGAACAGAGGCGAGAGGAACCGCTGGCTGCCGGGAAGGAGGCCTGGGCCAGCGGCCTCCTGCAGCTCAGGGAGGCTCCGCCAGGGACGTGCCAGGAACCGGCCTGCCTTGGGCACGCCCTGCCCCTCCTTCAGTCCAGGGGGCGGCTGGGAAGGGGAGCCTCACTGGGCCACATGGAACCCAGAGGTGTCGTGCCCCAGCCCCCCAGCTGTGAATAAAG